GCCAGCCCGCCCCCCCCAAACTCCCGAACCGAGCGCCCGAGACGCGCGAGCGCGCGGGGCCAGGTCGCGCGCGCGAGAAAGGCCGAACGCGCCAGGGCCCCCGCGCCAGTGGAGAGGAGGCCCCGCGTCGCGCAACCCCGCCCCCCAAATGAAAACCGGCCGAGGCGCCGAGATGGCCCGAGAGGAGGACGGGACAGCTTAGACGGGGGCCCCCTCACGACCTGGGCCTCTGTCCATGACGCGCCATGAAACTGTCGCGTATAAATGGGCACGGTCAGAACTCGCCCGCAGAGGAAGGGCGCCAGCGCGCCGCGCGCAACGCCGCGGCGACCGCCCCCGCGACGGGAGAGCGCCTCAGCGAAAAGGACTGCCCGCGCGTCACCTCGCGCGGAACCTGGACCGACGACGCGGCCCAGGTAAAACGTCTTGGAAGCGGCGGCGAAATCTCGCCGCCGAGGGCCCACCTCAGCAAGACCCGCGCGCATGCGCTCGAGGACGAAGTCAGAGAGCCCCTCCCGAGAGGGGTTGGCAATGCATTCCCACGCTTCAGAATCTTGTTTAGCAAAACGAAATGCAGGCCTGCAGGTCCCGCCCAGATGAAGCGCCGCGCGTGGATCCCAAGCGGCCGCGCCAACGTCGCCCGCGAGCGCGACGCATCTGCGCGGCCGGGTGGCGCGAGGCTCCGCGGACTGAAGATGATGAGTGCTCGAGAGAAGGCGGCCCTGCAGCCCGGGGCCAACCTTAAGATGGAGATCTCAAGATTACCACGGGCCGAGGGGCATAGGGTGGGATGATAGGAGACAGCGGGCGCGAGCGCGAAGCCCCTCGGGCCAGGGGCAAGATGAACGGCGCGAAGCATCCAGGACTGGTGGGCAGAGGGGGGCGCGCGGGCGAAATCGATGGCAAGCGGGGCAGGGGCATGAGGGGAGTCGCCGCGGCAGCGAACGCTAGTTTCACGCGCGGCCGAACCAACGCGCGCAACATCGGTAGGAAAGTTGCGCCCAACCTCTCTGCGACGGGCCCTGGATCCTTGCGGGGCTTCGCATGGCGACCAGTAGATGACCGCAGCATTTGCCTCAGTGGGAGATCATGGGCCCCAGCGGGCGAACATCGCCGCCCGAGCGGACGGCGCGGCTGAACGCCGTGCCCCCGCCGGGCGCCGGCGTCGGAAGATTCGCCTGAAGCGAGGCGCTACACGATGGCGACGTGCATTTCGCACCGAGTCTCTGCCGTGCTTCCAGCGTGACGGGGGGCTTCGAACCAAAAGCGAATTCGTGCGCGCGCTGCTCGGCGTCGCCGGGGGGCGGGGTTCCATTCGCAAGAATCGGGGGCCAATGCGCGCGGGGCTCCGCGGCAATGGCGCCGGGGGATGGCGCGGCCGTCCGCCGCCCCAGGTGCCCGAGGCCCTCGGCCCGCGCCGCCGCCGAACGCTACCCCCCGACGCCGCGCCGCAGTCGCGCCCGCTGCGCGAGCGCGGACTTCCGCGCCGGACTCTGCCCGCGCTGCGCCCCGCCATCGGGCGCTGCGCGGTGGTTTGCGCCCCTGCATTTCCAAGGGCGCACGCAGCGCGTCGCGCCAGACAGGGTCGACCAGCGAGATTGAGCCACTGAGACAGGCGCGAACGAGTCCACGAGCGTCGCGCAACCATCGACCGCGCGAGCTCGCCCCCCTGCCGCGCAGAGCAACGCGCGATATACCTGGCGATCGTCGTTCTCGAGAGCGCGGCGCGCGGTTGAACGCTTGACTCTGGGCCCCCGCGCGCGCGACCGCTGCCCGGCGGCGCCTCGCTGCTAGCTCGAGCGCCTGTCAATCAAAATCGCCGAGGCCCGCGTGCCCGGCCGCGAGCGCCCCGCGCAGGATGCCCGAAACAACCTGGCGAGGAAGAGGGCGATGACGCGAGGACTCAGAAGCATGTGTCCGACCGAAACAGGAACGTGATCATAGGCGCCAGATAGAGACAACTCCCACGGATCGCAATGTCGACAGACACTCAGACGGCCTTCGCGAAGGACCCAGATGGGGGCGGCAATGAAACGTCTGCCCGCGCAAGTCTCCGACTGGGCAACCTGACGCCAGCTGGTGGGTTGGGGCGGGTGGGCGGGTGGGTGGGTGGGCGGGGGGCCTCATTGGGGCGCCCGTTGGGCAACTTCAAAATCTCGCGCCAGCGACGATCGCCAGCTCTAGCTCCCCGACCCTCTGCAATGTTGAAACGCCCCTGCAGCGCGCCTCCGCCGGCGAAGCACGGGCCAAGGAAACTTGCTCAGCTATCCCCCGCTGCAGCTCTATCAAGGAGGCGTTCGGGCATCGCGGCGATAACGTTCCAATGGCGAAGAGCGGGGTTCGGGGCCAGAATCTGCAGATACAGGATGCGGCCGAAACCGGCCTCATCGGACAAAAACTCCCAACATAAACTCGAGTGGTCACCCCACCCGCCTGCCGATGGGCATCCGCAACAAGACGCATCCGCTCCTGAACGAGGGCCGGGCTGGCGCCTCCGAAATGAAGCGTGAACGACCAGCCTCGCTGAGTGCCCTCCAGCCTACACTCTTGCACGAGCTGGAACGAGCGCGCCCCGAGTCGCTCTCTGATGCGATGCGCGACCTGACTGGCGCGGACATCCTCACGCATGCGATCGCGAAGACGCTTCTCTGAGCGCAGGACGAACTCGAAAAGGTTGTGAACATTCAAGCCTGCGCGCTGGCGTACTTCGGCGACCGACTGCAGGTCGCCATGGATCTCCTGCGGACTCGCGAGCGCCGAGGGATGAGCAACTGCGCTGAGCACATGCGCGCGACGCCCATGAGCACCAATATCATGATGACACAGCGCACGAGTGTTCCATGTGACGTAAATGGCCGCCTTCCCTCTCGTCCAAGTGCCACCCAGGCCACTTAACCTGCTTTGCGGAGAAAACACCTTCCCCGAACTGTAGCACACGATCGAATTCGGTGCCACGTCTGAGATGCCATTCCGATTGCACTTGGCCTCGGGGGCGTCGCGCGTTAAGACTCCACTTTCGCAATCGCGAGCCACACAGGCGCGGTAATGAAGCGAAAACTCCCGCTCGAGGGCCTGCTCGAGGGATCGGCAGGCCGTCTCCCTTGCGATGTCGCAGCGGCTCGTATCTCGACGGACAAGAACGTAGATCAGCCTAATTACCGCCAGGTCCCAGGAATGTTCTCCACACGCCAGCACGAAACCGAAAAGCTGCACGAGCCCGACGCGGACTCGCTGGAATGGTGCCCTCCGTGGGGCCTTCCAAGCGAAGTGTGGACGACCTGCTGAGCGGGTGCCCTCAAGCTCACCCTCTCGCCCGAACGTGAAGTTGCATGCCGCGAGCCAGTCCTGTATACACTTAGCAACCTGACTCACACGGACCTCTTCCCTTGTACCGATCGTGAGGATGTTGCCTTCGACTTCCCTGTCCCACTCTGCCGTGCATTCGACTGCCGCCCTTGGAAATGTGACTTTGGCAAAGCCAAGCTCCCTTTCGGGACGCCGGAGGCGCATCGCCAAATCTCTTTGAAAAAACAGCCACCGCATCACCCCGCTCATCAGTCGCAGCCAATCCGTCGAGCACCTCACGCGCATCCGTTTGTTGACATTTTGATTGCATTTCTTGAGAGAGGGGGCGGTGAGTTTCTGCAGCGAACTAGGCAACGACTCCTCAAGGCTCTCGTGCAAACAGAAAAGACCTCTGACAAGCGAGCGTCCGTGAAGTCTTTGAACACAGATTCGTACTTCGCCCACCCACAGCATCACGATGGAAGCCAGGAGAAATTATCTGAGGAGGAGGAGGAACAGGAACAGGAGGAGGAAAGGGGGCAGAATAATGTGGAGCAGGAGGAGCATGACGACCAGGAGGAAGGGACATGACGGAGACGGCAACGACGAATCATGCAGGAATCTGGTCCCGAAGTGTGGCCCGGGCGTGGGCCGAGAGCGCCATTTTTCCTGCACGACGGGGGCGAACCACAAAACATCACACAACGCAGCTCTGTGCGTGCCGAGCACTGGCGCGAGAACGGCGGGACTGCCGCCTGACACTGCGAGGGGAGGAGGGCGGGGCCCGCCGCCGAGCGGCCCCGCGGCCGACGAGGCGCGGGCGGTCGCCCTCCCCGCGTTCCCTGCACCCCGCCCCGCCCGAGAAGATCGCGTCCCTCCCCCCCTCCCCGTCCCTCTCCTCGTGCAGTCGGCCCGGATCCCCCCTCCACCTCCCCCCTCGATCGGCTTCGCCCGAGCCGCGCTCGCCCCAGCACGAGGGGGAAGACGGCGCCGTCGACGTCGACAAAGCGGGCGACGACGCCGCTGCCTGAGGCCAGCGGGTGCCGATCCCCCTCCCCCTCGGTCGGCTTCGCGCGACCCGGGCTCGCCTGGCAAACCTTTCCCGGGATGCGCTCGGGCCCGAAGTCCGAGGATAATCCAGCCGTGTCGACGAGGGCCCTCCGAGACGAGCAGTGGCATCAGTATCTTTCGGGCGTTGACAGAACTGGGTTTAGTGGGACCTTGTTTAGTGATGTGCACTGGGAGACGACCCCCTAGCGATGTGCACTGGGAGACGCCCCCCCCGGTCCACTAACGGGAACTGCCGTCGCCCCCAAAAAACTCCAACTACGGCCGACCTGGTCTAGTGATTCTGGCTAATTTAGGGGCTCCAGGGCCCTACCACTAACTAGATCCCCTTGCCTGGGGTCCTGGCTATACCCGATCCGCGCTGGAGCGGGCGATCATGATGCGCGAAGCGGTGGCCCGCGAGGGTCGAAGGCCCCAGCTTCAGGCGGGCCAAAATGAGGGCTACGCTTGGGACGCACTGAGACATAGTAACACTGTATGTCCTCCTTGGAGGCGCGCGTCCGACCCGAACATGTAGTTTTCCCCTCTTGTAGTAGATCGTTTCCCGAGCGGTGTGCCCAGAAAACGCCCGTCACGAAGCTTTCCTTCGCCTCACAGACGGGCCCCCCGAGAAACCGACCGCCGACCGCGGGTCGGCCGAGAGGGGCGCGCGCTCCTCGGCGGCGAGGCCGACGAGGGCCAGGCCCGCGGCGCGCAGCGCCGCGACCGCGGCCGCCGGCGGCGTGCTCTCCGGCACGGGCACCAGGCGCACGTCCCACTCGAGCCTCTCAGGGGGAGAGGGGCCCCGGGGGGGAGGAGGAGTCGGGGAGTCGGGGAGGAGGAGTCGGGGAGTCGGGGAGTCGGGGAGGAGGAGGAGGAGGAGGAGGAGGAGGAGGAGGAGGAGGAGGAGGACGAGGAGGAGGAGGAGGAGGAATGGGCGGGGGCAGGGAGAAGGATGAGTCAGGGGCGTCCAAGATAGGGAACCTACAAAGGACGTACGCGCCCAGCTATGCACATGAACGCGGCCCCTCGATCCGCGAGACTGGCCGCGTGGTGCGAACATTTGCGCATTGCGCCCTCTCGAAACCAGCGCGGATTCATGTACATGCACGTCCTGCTTTCGCTCCTGCCAAGAGGAGGCCGTCCAAGAGGGGGGGTCGCACATCGTGGGCCGAGGCACGCGCGCGGCCCAGGGGAGGCAGGCGGGGGGGGCAGGGGGCCCTTTGAGACAAGACGCGTGGCCGCGAGATCCGCCCGCCCCGAGAGAGGAGGGAGGAGGGAAACGAGTCCCAGACCTCGAACGCCCCGTTTTTGTTGTTGTTGTTGTTGAACCTTCACTTCTGAATAAGAATAAGAATCATAATAATTATTGTTGATCCACCCCGTCCGGTGCACATTGTTTTTTCTCGATGGAAGTGCCCTTCCCAGGGCTCGCACCCTGTTAATTATTAAGGAAAGTTTTGAGGGTCAAACTGTGTCGTTGGTTGGCACCCGGGTTACAACAACAACGGCTCCCGCCTGAGACTTCCTCACAATTTAGCCAGGGCCCCCGCTCCCGCCCGAGAGCTCCTTGCATTTTATTGAGGAATCGCGCTCTTGCTTGGGACTTACTTGCAATGTATTCAGGAATCGTTCTCTCGGCGCTCTGGAGTTGCGCTCTCGCTGGAGACTTGCTTGCAGTTTATTGAAGATTAGCGCCATTGTGTTGGAAATTCTGGTAAGGTATTGGAAAATCTTGCAATCTATTCAAACGCTGCGCTCCCGGCACCCAGGCACCCAGGAGTCGCGCTCACGTTTAGGACTCCCTCGCAGATGACCCGAGAATCGGGATCTCGCTGCCCTTCGCGGCCCCGTTGCAGCCTTTCGTGGCCCCCTCGCTTTGTTTCGTGGCCCCGTTACAGCCCTTCGTGGCCCCCTCGCTGCCCTTCGCGGCCCCGTTGCAGCCCTTCGTGGCCCCCTCGCTTCGTTTCGTGGCCCCGTTACAGCCCTTCGTGGCCCCCTCGCTGCCCTTCGCGGCACCGTTGCAGCCCCTCGTGGCCTCCTCGCTGCCTTTCGTGGCCCCGTTGCAGCCCCTCGTGGCCTCCTCGCTGCCCTTCGTGGCCCCGTTGCAGCCCCTCGTGGCCTCCTCGCTGCCCTTCGCGGCCCCGTTGCAGCCACTAGTGGCCCCCTCTTGTTTCGCGGCCCCGTTGTAGCCCTTCGTGGCCCCCTCGCTGCCCTTCGTGGCCCCGTTGCAGCCACTCGCGGCCTCCTTGCAGCCCTTCGCGGCCCCCTCGCTGCCCTTCGTGGCGCCCTCGCTGCTTTTCGTGGCCCATATATGTATGCCCTTCGTGGCCCCCGCTCGTTCGCGCCCGTCGCGGCCCCATGCGCATGCCCTTCGTGGCCCCGTTGTCGCCTTTCGTGGCCCCTTTCCTGCCCTTCGTGGCCCCGTTGCTGCCCTTAGTGGCCCCGCCCTTGCCTTCCACGGCCCAGTCTACGTATGCCCTTCGTGGCACCCGTTCGTTCGCGCCCGTTGTGGTCCCATGTGCATGCCCTTCGTGGCCACGCTGTCGCCGTTTGTGGCCCCCTCACCGTCCTACGTGGCCCAGTTGCTACCTTCAGTGGCCCCGTCGTTGCTTTCTGTGGCCCCGCAGGATCTGCCCCTCGTGGCCCCCGATCGTTCGCGCCCGTCGTGGCCCCATGCGCATGCCCTTCGTGGCCCCGATGTCGCCCTTCGTTGCCCCTTTCCTGCCCTTCGTGGCCCCGCCGTCGCCATTCGTGGCCCCCTCGCTGCCCTTCGTGGCCCCGTTGCTGCCCCCACTGGCCCCGTCCTTGCCCCCCGCGGCCCAGTATACGTATGCCATTCGTGGCCCCCGCTCGTTCGCGCTCTTCGTGGCCCCATACGCATTCCCTTTGTGTCCCCGCTGTCGCCCTTCGTGGCCTACTTCGCTTCTCTCTCGCTCTCGCTTTCGCTCGTCGTCGTCGTCGCCGTCGTCGTCGTCGTCGTCGTCGTCGCCGTCGTCATCGACGTCGTCGTCATCGTCGTCGTGGTCGGTCCCCTGTCCGTCCCTCTTGGGGTCGGGTCGACGGTCCGCGGCCGCCCCGCCGATCAGCGCTGCCGCTGGCCAGGCCGGCAGTCCGCGGCCGCCCCGCCGCTTGCCGGGGCCCGGCCTGCAGGGAAGAAAGGTATACCCCCCAAAAAGGGTTCGATCGAAGACGAAGAGGGCGGGTATCGAGGGTTTGGGAAATACGCGTTATTGGACACTCGAGCAGGTAAGGGCGAACAGTCTTAGAATGATTGTTGTTGTTGTTGATGTTGTTGTTGCTGTTGTTGAGCTCTCACTTCTGAAGAATAACTCTTGTTGATCCACCCCGTCCGGTGCACATTGTTTTTCTCGATTGAAGTGCCCTTCCCGGGGCTCGCACTCTTTTTGTTATCAAGGAAAGTCTTGAAGGTCAAACTGTGTCGTTGGCCCCCGGTTTACAACAACAGCGGTTCCCGCCTGAGACTTCCTTACAATTTAGCCGGGACCCCCGCTCCCGCCCGAGACTTCCTCTTGTATGATTCAGGAACCGCGCTTTCGCCTGGGACTTCCTTAGAATGTATTCTCCCGGCGCTCTGGAGTCGCACTCTCGCTGGAGACGTGCTTGCAATTTACTGAAGAATAGCGCCTGTGCGTTGGAATTTCCTGCAATTTACTCAAGCGCCGCGCTCCCGACACCCAGGCACCCAGGAGTCGCGCTCACGCTTAGGACTCCCTCATGGATTACAAGGGATCGGGACCTCGCAGCCCTTCGTGGCCCCCTCGTTTTGTTTCGTGGCCCCGTTGCAGGCCTTCGTGGCCCCTTTCCTGCCCTTCGTGGCCCCGCTGTCGCCCTTCGTGGCCCCCTCGCTGCCCTTCGTGGCCCCGTTGCTGCCCCCACTGGCCCCGTCCTTGCCCCCCGCGGCCCAGTATACGTATGCCATTCGTGGCCCCCGCTCGTTCGCGCCCTTCGTGGCCCCATACGCATTCCCTTCGTGTCCCCGCTGTCGCCCTTCGTGGCCTACTTCGTGTCCTTGTGGCCCTGCTGTCGTTCTCTCTCGCTGTCGCTTTCGCTCGTCGTCGTCATCGCCGTCGTCGTCGTCGTCGTCGTCGTCGTCAACGTCGTCGTCGTCGTCGTGGTCGGTCCCCTGTCCGTCCCTCTTGGGGTCGGGTCGACGGTCCGCGGCCGCCCCGCCGATCAGCGCTGCCGCTGGCCAGACCGACAGTCCGCGGCCGCCCCGCCGCTTGCCGGGGCTCGGCCTGCAAAGAAGAAAGGTATACCCCCCAAAAGGGGTTCGATCGAAAACAAAGAGGGCGGGTATCGACGGTCTGGGAAAAACGCGTTATTGGACACTCGAGCAGGTAAGGGCGAACAGTCCTCAAAAAATTGTTGTTGAACTCGCATTCTTGAAGAAAATTATTGTTGATCCCCCCCCACCGGTGCACATTGATTTTTTCCGATTGAAGTGCCACCCCCGGGCCTCGCACCTTGTTTTTTCTCAAAGAAAATCTTCCTGTTCAAACTGTGCCCCTGCCCCCCGGGCTACAACAACAACGGTTCCCGCTTAAGACTTCCTCGATTTTTACTCAGGACCCCCGCTCCCGCCTGAGACTTCCGCGCAATTTACTCAGGAAAGGCGCTCCCATCTGAGACTTCCTCGCAATGTAATCAAGACCCCCGCTCCCGCCTGAGACTTCCGTGCAATTTACGTGGGAACGGCGCTCCCGCCTGAGACTTCTTCGAATTTTACTCAGGACCCCCGCTCCTGCCTGACATTTCCGCGCAATTGACTCAGGAACGGCGCTCCCGCCTGAGACTTCCTCGCAATTTAGTGAGGACCCCCGCTCCCGCCTGAGACTTCCGTGCAATTTGCTCAGGAACGGCGCTCCCGCTTGAGACTTCCTCGCAACTTAGTCAGGGCCCCCGCTCCCGCCCGAGATTTCCTCACAATGTACTCAGGACTGCGCTCTCGCGTGCGACGTCCTCACAAATTATTATGGAATTGCGTTTCGGCGCTCAGGAACCACGCGCGCGCCAAGGACGCCTTCACAACGTGGTATCTTCCCTCTTCCTTCGTCCTTCCCCCTCCCCTTCCTCCCACTCTCCCTCGTTCTTCCCCTCCTCCTCTTGCAGGGCCCGCGCCAATTCCAATGGCGGGCAGAGAGATGTACGCCCCCGAAGGATTGTCCGCCCGTTCCGGTTTGCCCGTACGTCTAAGCCCGCCGGCCCCAGCAAAGAGAAATAATCCCCCCGAAAGGGGTGTGATCGAAGACGAAGAGGGCGGGCTTCGAGGGTGTAGGGTATACGTGTTGAATGACTCGCGGGCAAGTAAGAGCGTACAGCCTTAAAATGGTTGTTGTTGTGAACATTATTTATTCTAAAGAATAATTATTGTTGGGCCCCCTGGTGCGCGCCCCCCCTGCGCCGCCTAGGCCGCAGCTACATTTTCATCATTTTCGTGAGGAAGCCTCAGAAAAGAGGGTGTGTACAGGATCCGGTTGTTTTGTTGTAATCCGCTTTCCCTTGCAAAAAACAATAGAAAATGACATTTCTTGTTCTAATATAATCAAATTTCAAGAATCCCTTGCAAAAAATAAGGTAAAGTGGACATTCGCGCGCGCAAGACGAAATCCTTCCAAAAGCTTAGTGTTCGCAGCGATTTTAACATAAAAACATCAAAAAACCAATGGTTTTTCAACAAAAAAATGTCAAAATCTCATCCCGCGCGCTCTTGCGGATTCGTAGGAAACCCAACACTTTTTAAACATTTCTGTCAAACGGGCTTTTGCGAGCAACTTTTTCGAACTTCTGCAACAACGGTTGCGCACCTGCCAGGGCCATCATCCCTGTCAAATAATACCATGCGGGACACATTCGTTTTTTCTTCGCGCGCGCACGCCGTCGTCGTCGGCCGCGGGGCCCTGAATAGTAGCCACGGTCGTCCGCATGCCACGAAGTGAAGTGTCCGAACGTCATAGGGCGGGAAGCTGGGTGTGGGTGGTGGCGAAGAGTCGTTTGGAAATTTGGTAGAGCTTGAACCGGCCCCCCCACAAAGTGGGGGTATTGCCCGCCTCCTATGAAAACCCTGGCACTGGTGAGAACGGAGTGTCCCCAGTCTTAAATGATTGTTGTTGTTGTTGTTGTTGTTGTTGAACTCTCACCTCTGAAGAATAATTCTTGCTGATCCACCCCGTCTGGTGCACATTGTGTTTCTCGATTGAAGTGCCCTTCCCGGGGCTCGCACACTTTTCTGTTATGGTGGAAAGTCTTAAGGTCAAACTGTGTCGTTGGCCCCCGGTTTACAACAACAGCGGCTCCCGCCTGAGACCTCCTCACAATTTACCCGGGACCCCCGCTCCCGCCCGAGATTTTCTCGCGCTTGATTCAGGAATCGCGCTTTCGCTTGGGACTTCCTTAGGATTTATTCTCCCGGCGCTCTGGAGTCGCACTCTCGCTGGAGACGCGCTTGCAATTTACTGAAGAATAGCGCCTGTGCGTTGGAATTTCCTGCAATTTACTCAAGCGCCGCGCTCCCGACACCCAGGCACCCAGGAGTCGCGCTCACGCTTAGGACTCCCTCATGGATTAATCGGGATCTCGCAGCCCTTCGTGGCCCCCTCGCTTTGTTTCGTGGCCCCGTTGCAGCCCTTCGTGGCCGACTCGCTGCCCTTCGTGGCCCCGTTGCAGCCCCTCGTGGCCTCCTCGCTGCCCTTCGTGGCCCCGTTGCAGCTCCTCGTGGCCCCCTCGCTTTGTTTCGTGGCCCCGTTGCAGCCCTTCGTGGCCCCGTTGCAGCCCTTCGTGGCCCCGTTGCAGCCCTTCGTGGCCCCCTCGCTGCCCTTTTGTGGCCCCGTTGTATACCTCCGTGGCCCCCTCGCTGCCCCTCGTGGCCCCATATATGCATGCCCTTCGTGGCTCCCGCTCGTTCGCGCCCGTGGTGGCCCCATATGCATCTGTCCTGCGTGGCCCCGTTGCTGCCCTCAGTGGCCCCATCGTTGCCTTCTGTGGCCCCGCATGATCTGCCCTTCGTGGCCCCCGCTCGTTCGCGCTCTCCGTGGCCCCATACGCATTCCCTTCGTGTCCCCGCTGTCGCCCTTCGTGGCCTACTTCGTGTCCTTGTGGCCCTGGTCGGAAGGTCACGGCAGAACTTCAACCGCAGAGGCCCCCCTTGCCCTCCTCCGTTCCGACGGCCGGGCCTTTGCCCAGCTCAGCTCACCACAACCTGAAGTCGGGGCCGAGGTGGGGAGGGCGGGGCCAACGGTCCAGCTCCACCCTCTCCCCCGCTCAGAATGCGGCGGCGGCCTCAAGCTCGGTCGTGGGGGGGGTCGCGCACGGTGGCCCCCCAGGCCTCTGGCGCACCCCACGAAACGGCGACCACGCATGAGGCCAACGACCCACTCCTTTGGAGGACCAGTCCAGTCCAGTCTCCCCCGCCTCCTCCCCTTTCCTCCCCTCTCCATTCCCCCTGCCTCCTCCCACCCCCCCTCTCTCGCCCTTCGCCCCTTCCCTCCCTCCCTTCCTTCCCTCCCCTCCCCATCGCGAAGGGGCTGCCTCCGCTCGACCTGCGAGGTGCGCAGGGCCTTGCGGATCGCGGTCCGGCTCGGGCCGCCTAGGGCGCAGACCTGGGAGACCCGTGCGGTCGCCGTCGCCGTCGCCGCCGTCGACGACGACGCTGCCGGCGCTCGTATTCGTCCTCGCCCCCATGTCATCCGCCTCCTGCTGCTGCTGCTCTTCCCCCCTCCCACCTCTTCAGCATTCACCGCCAGCCTCCCTCCTTCCCTCCTCTCGGCCGTTCCCCCCTTTCCCGTTTTCTACCCCATACCAAACTCCTCCTCATCCTCCTCCTCCTCTTCTTCCTCCTCCTTCCCCCCTCCTCCTCCTCCTCCTCCTCCTTCTCCTCGCCTCTCCTTTTCTTCCTGCTGACCCTGCTGCTACAACTCCTCCACCCCATCCCATATTCAATTCCGTTCCATCGCCATCGTCTCCTACCCTCTGCTGTCGCCCACGCCCCCCCTCGTCCCTATCCACATGCTGATCGTTTCCCCCTCGTCCGTATCAGAAGCATATATGTCGTACCATCCGTTCTCTTCGTTCTCTTCGTCCTGCCCTCCGTTTCCGCCCCCAGTCCTCTTCACTCAAATCGTTCATCTCTTACTGATTCCCCGTGCCTCCCCCTTTCCCCCTGCCTTCCCGTCCCTCCCCCGTCCCTATGTGTGTGTGTATATATATATATATATATGTACGTGTGTGCATGTATGTCTACACACACGTACACATGTTTGGATCGACTATGTGATTCGTTTTCGTCAACCCGCACAACCAGCCTCCACTGGACGGCCACGTGTACTGGTTGAGCAGGAGACATTGAGGGTGCACTTTGCTCCTTGAAAGGCTCGGGCGTTCGAACTCGTCCAAATGGCGAGCAGGTGGCCCCTAGTGGCTCAAGATGGCCTCTATAAACTATTTGTGATTCGTTGTATGTGTTGGCTTGCGTGGCCGTGACACAGTGCCCTCTACTAGAATGTGTGGTGGTATCTACGTGGTGCACAGTTTTTTTCACAGACGAATTGACACATTCCACGCTGATGCAAACATCCCACCCACCCACCCGCAAATTGATTTGCAAACCGCATGCGGTGGCGATTGCCATGAATGCTTGACATTCGCTGGCCCATCTCTGCGGCCACGCCGACCCAAACACGCGCGCAGAGGCCAGCCAGTTTGGCGCGACCGACGCGGCCGCGGGGGCGCTGACCGCTGGGCACATCCCAGCGGGCACTTCAACATGAGTCGGCGACTCTGGCGGGCGCGGTATCATGGCAGTGTCGACAACGGTAGACACGATGATGATAGAAGCGATACTGGTGACGATGATGACGGTGACGGCGGCGCGGCCACTGCGGGCGCCGATACTGATCACGCCGGCGCGTCTGTGATGAAGGTTTTGGAAAGAATTCGAATTGCGAGCGCGGCCGACGCGCCAGAGTGGCCCGCATAGTATTGTTTGACATGGATCGCGCCCCCCCCCCCAGCACGCGCGCAAGGTCGCGCGAATGATTTCGGCATGCGGCGCAAGAGGCCCGTTTGGCAGAATGCCATGAACATGTTGAAAAACCGATGGTTTGCTTGAACATTCGCAAGACCCCGAACGCACGCCTTCTTGAAAACAGTCGTTGCGAAACCCATGTGTTTGTTTTACATGTTTAGGCCACTCGGTTTTGACATCGCTACGAAATCGAAGGTTACTGACGGATTTCGGCATGCGCGCGGCGACGCGCGCGTGTGCACTTCGTCCATTATGTTGCAAAGAATTTTCGCGACGGCGCGCGCGCAAGGGCGTTCGAACGACTTCGGCATGCGCGCGAAACCCGTTTGGTAGCTTTTTCTGACATGATGAAATTAGCCTGACGAGGGACCCAACCATATGCAGGTGCGAGTACCGCAATAGTGATTCATTTTTTCGGTGGCGATCCCTATGAGGCAACGAACCGTGCTAGGGGCGTGCCGACATGAGTGGCGTGGTACACAAAGTGAACGAAAACGATTGATCTGAGTACGTAGGGAGACTGAGCGCGGGTGAATCTGCGCGCGTGCGTCTGACTGTGAATGATCTGCGTGCGAGCGAGTCTACGTGCATGAATGCGAATATGACAAAGCGTGGTGCAAATGTGTATGAATGCCAATAGTTTGACAACGACTGCCTCTGAATACTCGTGACGCTGGGCGTGGCCGCCGCAAGGAGCTTCCCCGGGACTCCCCGACGGCATCGCCCGCGCGCCGCGACGCCAATGTCGGCGCGCCCCCCCGCGAGGATCGCGCCCGCTTCCTCCCCTTCCTTTACTCCCTCTTTGCCCGCGCACTCAAAAGTCCAAGGCTGCGGGAGCAGCGCAGCGCGGAGCCCCCGCGACGCGCGCAGGTCACCCCGGAGGGGTCCCAGCGACGCGCGCGGGTCGTCCACTGCGCGGAGCGAAGAGAGCTAGCTGGCTGGCTGATAGCGGGCAAGGCTCTTGCCGCTGGGCAGAGCGACGACGGGCGAGCGAGGCGCTGGGCGGAACGCAGCACGGAGCCCCCGCGACGCGCGCAGGTCGCCCCGGAGGAGTCCCAGCGACGCGCGCGGGTCGCCCGCTGCGCGGAGCAAAGAGAGCTAGCTGGCTGGCTGGGACCTGCGGTGGGGCTCCATATGGGGCCACGTAACGCTGTACTGGGCAAAGGAGACGCATGTGGACTGCGCCACGGGGACCTTCGGTGGAGCTCCCTATGGGGCCACGAAACGTGTGAGGGATGTGCCGGAATGGGTGTGCGGGACGCATGCGGGCACACCCACTGAGACCTTCGGTGGAGCTCCCTATGGGGCCACGAAACGTGTGAGGGGTGGGACGACATGTGTGTGCGGGACGCATGCGGGCACACCCACTGGGACCTTCGGTGGAGCCCCCTATGGGGCCACGAAACGTGTGAGGGGTGTGCCGAAATGGGTGTGCGGGACGCATGCGGGCACACCCACTGGGACCTTCGGTGGAGCTCCCTATGGGGCCACGAAACGTGTGAGGGGTGTGTGCCGAAATGGGTGTGCGGGACGCATGCGGGCACACCCACTGGGACCTTCGGTGGAGCTCCCTATGGGCCACGAAAAGTGTGAGGGGTGTGCCGGTGGAGTGCTCATGCGGGCACCCCACTGGGACCTTCGGTGGAGCTCCCTATGGGGCCACGAAACGTGTGAGGGGTGTGCCGAAATGGGTGTGCGGGACGCATGCGGGCACACCCACTGGGACCTTCGGTGGAGCTCCCTATGGGGCCACGAAACGTGTGAGGGGTGTGCCGAAATGGGTGTGCGGGACGCATGCGGGCACACCCACTGGGACCTTCGGTGGAGCTCCCTATGGGGCCACGTCCCGGGGACGCATGCGGGCTGGGACCTTCGGTGGAGCTCCCTATGGGGCCACGAAATGAGGGGGTGTGCCGAAATGGGTGTGCGGGACGCATGCGGGCACACCCACTGGACCTTCGGTGGAGCTCCTATGGGGCCACGAAACGTGTGAGGGTGTGCCGAAATGGTGTGCGGGACGCATGCGGGCACACACACTGGGACCTTCGGTGGAGCTCCCTATGGGGCCACGAAACGTGTGAGGGGTGTGCCGAAATGAGTGTGCGGGACGCATGCGGGCACACGCACTGGGACCTTCGGTGGAGCTCCCTATGGGGTCACGAAACGTGTGAGGGGTGTGCCGACATGGGTGGTGATAATGATGATGACGACAGATGATGATGACGATGACGATGATGGGGATGATGACGATGATGATGAAGATGGGAGGAGGGAGGGGGCAGCGGGAAGGAAGGAACGCGGGGCGCTGTCTCTTCAAAACGAGGACCCAACACCACAGGATGGTTGGGAAAAACATATGGTTTACTTGAGAATTCGCAGGAACGCTCGCGCAAGTTTTGCTTGAATGCCCGTGTTGCGAAGTTTTGCGATATTATTGTTGTTGGGGCACTCGAAATCCTTACGCAACCAAGAGTTGTTGAAGGAGTTCGGCACGCGTGCGCGACAACGTGCGCGTTTGCATTTCGTCACGTATTTTGCAAGGGGTTCTTGAAAACTGATGATTGTTGATAAACGAGTGCGCGCGCAAAGCATTTTTGTTGCAGAGGACGGCGGGGGGGGGGCGGATACCATCTCGGCCAGGATGGCATGAACTCATATTTCGGATGGGCGACGGGGCAGAATCATAAGTGAATTGCGTTACGAAAATGTGAACAGATAGTCCCGGGGGGGGGTCGAGTCTTTTAAGAATGTCGTGCAAGCTATGTGGCGCAACCTATGCGGTGCAATCTGTTGGGCGCACTCAATTTTGGAAGCGTGGAGTTGTTAGCTCTACTGCTCGCGCAATCTCCCTACCCACCCACCCGCAACTCGGCTGCCAAAACCCACACAGCGGCGATTGCGATGAGTGTTCGGAACTGGCTGGTGCATTTCTGCGGCTGCGCTGCCCCACGCATGCTCGCGGGCACAGCGGCCAGTGAGTTCGGCGCGAACGACGCGACCGCAGTGGCTCTGGCCAGTGTGCACCTAGATGTTTTACTTATTTGCCTGTATGTGTGTACAGATGCGCGCGGGCATCCATGCTCGATGCTCTCGCTGTTCGCAGTGGCGAGGGCGGGGAACGCGAGGGGTCCAAGCCGCTCTAGGGCCCCAAATCTGGTCGGAATCGGTGCGCCGCAAACAACATCTGTCTAATCCTATGTGTATTCCTCTCTCTCTCTCTCTTATCCCTCTCTCTCGCTTCTCCCGTATGGTCTTCCGTATGCTCCTCCGCATGCTCTTCCGTGTTTGCAGTGCAGTCTGAAGCTTGCCTTACTCTTTCACTAGTGCTGCCAAGGCGTAACTCTTGACGGCCCCAGCCCTGGTAAGGGGTGCCGGATGCCAAAACATGTCGAACACATTGTCGCGACATGTTTAGTATCAAGTCGGGCACGTCCCTCTACAGAAAGAATATGCAAAAATAATTAGCCTGACGAGGGACCCAACCATATACAGGTGTGAGTACCGCAATAGTGATTCACTTTTTCGGTGGCGATCCCTATGAGGCAACGAACCGTGCTAGGGGTGTGCCGACATGAG